AATGGATCTGGCTTTTCGGCTTTGTTTAGGTAGAATTTGTAGGTTTTTGTCTTATCAAAATATGCTTACATTACTTATAACTTCCTGGCAAATGCAACCAAGGTAATTTGTGATGAGGTTATTTAAGGAATCTGGCTGCCAGTCATGATTAATATGTTTGCAGTTGAGATTTATGTCGTTGTCTGTTAGCTGTTCGATATGTTGTTTGGCGCCATATGTTTGTTCTCCCACTAATTGACCTTTTTTAAAAGTTCGCACCAGAGCCTGTCCACCATTTCCTAAAGACTTACCCTCAGCATGTATGGAACATAGCTTGGGTCAGTGTTCGGTGGAAGCTCGGACCCAGTTGCACGCTTCTCGTCCATGCAATGGCAATCGACAATATCGCTTTATGGACTCATGAAAAGTGTATATTGAGGACGTCGCCCATGCGAATGCTTCTCCACTCAGATTCCCTTGCTGTGGTAAAGCCGAATGTAAAACACATTTATGATCTCGTGCTTTGAGAGTGGACTCCGCGTGGATTACACTTATGTCTCACATACAGTAGAACACAGATAACAAACAAAAAAATTTATTTAGCCTCCAAGTAAGTCCCAGATGACTTGCACCAAACATTACACAAAAAACGAAGCGCTCTGCGGGAGAGAAATCGACGTGTTTTTGTTAGCGAGCGTCTGAGGAGATCGGATGATATACTTTAGTGTGCCCAGTTATCTAATTAAGACTAATTAGCTAACTTTATATTTATTCGCTTAAGGGACATAATTTGAATTGGCAGGTTCTGAAGCGCATTAAGAAACACCGAAATAATGTGTTTGCTACAGGATACGGTTCATGCGCTTCTTTTTACTGGCCAAAAAAAGAAAAGGCTGCGAAATATAAAAACAGACCGCGCGAGAACGCGCAGGCGTGTCGCGCTTCCAGCGCTCTCAGACGTGTTCTAAAGGAACAAAGACCATCTTATCACTGGTGCGCTGCCCCAGACAGGGCTTCGTGCTCGGTTAGTTCCTAAAGATAAGCGCGACGACCTGCTGCCCCGAAGCCTTGTCTCGGTTAGAGCGTTAATGAGAAGCCTCAGAACGCTGTACAAGTACGAGCTGGCGCGGTGGTACTCCGGCATTTTTTTAGACTAATAAAAAGGAGCGGACAAAGTGTATGAGATAGCAAACACCTTGTTTGGATGATTCTCAATGCGCTCTACAAATTGTAAATGGCCACATCGACCTTTAAACGAATAAATAAAAAGTTAGTTAATTGTTATAAGGTTATTAAATATTTGGGCGCCTTAAAATAATACTGATCTTTTTAAAAAGACTTACCAATAGTATACAGTTGGTTTTACACCCGCGGAGCGCTCCGTTTTCATTTTATTTTTCGTAAAGTTTAGTGCAAGTTTTTTTAGGGACATCCCTTATAAGTTGCATTTACTGGACGCTTTGTGAATGTGCCTTTTTATATAAGACGGCTTCATGCCGTGGTAGTTTTGTATAAACTATCCACGGTGCTGACTACTCAACCGCACTTCATTGTTTTTCGCATCTATCAGGTTTTTTGTTGCTTTCCCCTGTTTTCCTTGCCTTGCATCTGCAAAACTACATCAATATTTAGTTTAAACGTTACTTTATACACTGCGATCACGTCCTTTTGGTATGTTTGATTGCAAATGAAAGTCATAGGAGCCCTTTTATATTATACCTGTCTCGCAATATTTTTGCTTTGCTAGACCAGTTTCCTAATATGATTCGTTTTGTTTTTCTACACATAAATAAATGAACCTTTTGATTGCTAAAATCTCCCAAGGAAAAAAAAGTTGTTTCTCAGGGATCACATTTTGTTTCCAAGGGTCTATTGTAAACAGCAGGTAATCGCACACGCTTTCATTTTCCTAATTATGTAGTGTAAGTAGATACAGTGCTTGCATATTGTTCAAGTTGAGGATCATCAAATGAAAATACTGAAGACAAAAAAGTTCTCACTTTTCTTCCACTCAGTTTTATTTTGGCGCGACCGTTTCCGCGACATACCGGGGTTTCATATTCTGGACCGGAGGTACTTTGCAGGGCTTCTCTATTCGATGGTAAGCTCTCGTTCTCTGAATTCAATTTTGAGAAGCCTTAAAAGTTTGCATTAGAATAGGCGGCGTTCTAACTCCACTACAACCAGAACAGCCTACATGCGAAGCGATCATCCCTCGCGCATCACGTGCACGTACCGTCGAATTAAAAAAAAATAAAAAACTATAATTCTCTTCAGCAAAACAAATTGCCTTGTGAATAAAACGGTTATAGTTCACGGATTAGATAGCTTGGTATATAAAAAACTCCTCCCGTACGCGCGGTTCTCTGTTTATCGGACACATTCAAGTCTGTAATCGCCGCCGTACATGTACTGAGATGACCAGCAAAGAGTTAAAAGACGTTTAGGTTACCAGCATGAACCATTACATTTACTGTGCATGAAACACTAATTATTTATAGATGTGCCCCCGCACACACAAAACACCAAGTATGAACTGATAGAATATTAAGGCCCCGGTCGTTTTATGACGTGGTAGGTGCCATCAACGATAACACGAAATAAGCTACTTTTGTATCGATGCAAATCGCGTACAAAAATATAACAAAAAAAAAAGTGCTTGCCAAACTATGCAGGAGATATAGCTGTTACGAGAAAAGGCATAAAATTACGAGTCTATTTGAGATTTACACCAAGCCTAAAATTATGTTTTGCAGAAGCCTGCGCTGATATCATATTGCTGAGGTTTCGTTTTGTATCTAGCAGTACATTTGAGTGCACTAGGCGTACGTTTTGTGCTTTATATTTGTACTTTGTAATTACAGATTGAGAGAATTTTCAATGAAATATAGCGGATAATCTCATGCACTCCCATAATGATTTTTGATCCTCGGAGCACAGTCAATCTCAAGATATGTAAATAGAATTTTAGGCAGAACATGTTTCGCATGTGAGTGGCGATTTTATCGGCGATATTGCAGATGCAAAATATGTCATGACAAAATCCGCCCTTACACCCAGAAAAATAATTGTTAGTTCACTTGTCAACAAAACAGGAGGATAGCAACCACGGCTAATAAATATGAAAAGATTCATCGAATAAGCAAAAGAGCGAAACTTACCCTTGGTGAAAATCACTGAAGAATGAGTGTACTGAAAACGTACTGAAAGTGTGCGTAGAGGCAGTCCTAATACCACACTTTCTTTCACACTTCTAGAAAACAAGAAAGCACGCTTTTTGGTCGCTACAGCATACTGCATTTATACTTCTACCACGTGTCTCAAACAGCGGCCGTTCTCTTTAAATCGACCGCAAAAATCGGTTTCTTTACCCATTGCGTTCAGATTTTGTACAGCGTTGGCCGCAGGTAGTGCATTGTTTCTATAAAATTCGCAAAGAGCGAACTTACCTGAGGAAAAAATTAAAAAAAGAAAAGGCTTAGCTCCTATGGAAACGCAGCGGAGCCACTGGTCTTCAAACCATAGGGCGCCCTATGGTTTGCTCTGGGACACGAACTCAGAGCTTATGTATGCCTACCCGTTGTAGCTACCCACTTTCGAAAATATCGCGAATGCCGAAGATGTCTCTTTAACGAGGCGTAGCAGATAGAAATCCATGCATGCAGACATAGTCTAGAAACTAAATAGCGTCAAAATGTCAGAGGAACATGTTTATTTGCAACAACTTTTGCAACCAACATGCAAAACTAAGAAATCAATACAATTTACGGAAGTTGCTTCGAGGCGCAACACATCACACGAATTTCGATCACAGAACGCGCGAACGAGCGTGATACGTACATAAAACGTGACGGCGTACTTACGATATAAACAGCGAACTCCAAATGCAGGCGTCGTACATAGCAATCACTAGTAAACACTTTGGAAAAACACTCCTCGGCGCTTAGGCCGAAACTAGGTGAAGTTGATAGAGAGCAATGTTCCGGAGTTGCCACTCCGGAGTTGGAATAATTCCAGAATCATTCCGCACACCTCTGGAACGAAATGGGAATGGAATGGAGGAAGCAGTGGTGGAAATATAGTGGGAATAGAATGCAATGTATTTTTCCCGGAGTGGAGTGTAAATGGAAGGGGCTCGGTTCTTAAGGGAGCTGTGTCGATTTTGATATAGGGCCTACGGGCTGATGTCGCGATTCGTTGGCCCGTGGTAAGTGACTCTTGAAGCAGCAATATTGTACAGGAGGTGAGTGGCGGCTTGATTGTCCTACTGTCTCACGTTCCCTCGTGATTGAAAATGGCGTGTATCATTGAAGCAACCAAAACTGAATAGTTGTAGACGGACAAGGTGTCGTTTCTGGCACCGCAAGACGTGACAAAACGGCTGTTGTAATTGTTGGAGCGTTTAAGTGTTTCTTAATAAGCCATATCACTGTCACGAGGACATCGAAGACGAGGAGAAAATCGGCCAGAGACGTCTTAAAAGGGAGCGCGTGGCAAGGAGCTGGCGGCCGGGGGAGCGCGTGGCCTGGGCGCGAGACGAGGCTCGTGCTTGGAACGGTTGGGAACGACACGTCAGATCGCATCGCTTGCAACTTGTAGATAATGTAAATAAAAGTTTGCTCGAATGTAACCATCGACGACTGCCAGAGGTTCCTACATTGGTGCCGAAACCCGGGAGGAACGACTGAACGAAGGGAACCTGGTGGTTTACAGCAACTTTTCATCAAGCCAAGCCAGAACGATCGGCGATCATGGACGTCCTCAAGAAAAAACGGAAGACGCATCGGATGCAAGTGACACGACTGACTGGTGAGGCCGATGCGTTACTACTCTTAGCTACGCCAAGCGTCAACGACCTCGAGGTTCTAATCGAGCGTATTCATCTGGCCCGCGACCAACTGAACGACGTGGACGCGGCGATCGAACCTCTGATCACGGGACAAGATGCAGAAGCAGAGTTCAGTCATGCGATCGAGTATTCGGACAAGATCGTCACGTACCTCACCAAACTTAAACAAAAGATGAAGAGCGTGGGGGGCAGCCACCCAGCAAGGGGACCATCGAGCGGAGATCGGAACGGAGGATCCTCGGTGACATCAAAAATCAAACTCCCAAAATTGAAACTAATCCAATTCAACGGGCACCTAAAAGACTGGCAACCCTTCTGGCAGCAATTCGATACCGCCATTCATCAAAATCCGGAACTCACGCCGTCAGAAAAGTTCAACTATCTGCGATCAGCGCTGACCGGCGATGGAGCAGCCGCCATCGGTGGATTGCAGCCGACCGCTGAGTGTTACGCGGACGCCATCGAGCTCCTGCAGCAGCGGTTCGGGAAGCAAGAGACGCTTATCCAGGACCACATGGAAGGTCTCATGGACATACAGCCAGTGCCACCACAACGGAACACCCGAGCCCTACGGCGTTTATACGACACTCTACAGGCGCACATCAGAGGCCTTAGAGCGTTAGGGGTGGGCGAAGAGGCGTATGGAGCTATGCTATACACAGTTCTTTTGCGAGTGCTACCGAGAGATATCACTCTCGATTTCAACCGGAAGATGTCGGCGGAGGAGACCGGGAATGCCAACGCCGCAAGGGCATCAATGACAGACGCCAGTTTGGAATCCGCCCCACAGCAAGTACACCTGAGGGCTCTGCGGTTTCTCCTCGACTTTCTACGCATCGAGGTGGAGAGCCGCGAAAGGACATCAAAACACCAGCTGGAAGACGCCGTCGGTAAGCCCAGACCTTCTTCTCTGACGCATGGCTCTGTGAAGAGGTCAACGATCAACGCTCAGACTCGCAGTTCCACCGCGGCGGCATTGCACGGCAGTGTGGACGTCTTAGAGTGCTTCCTTTGCAAGTCAAAAGCGCACGGAACACCGGAATGTAACGCAAGAATCGGGCTAGCGGAGAAGAAGCGTAGGTTGCAAGCAGACCGGAGGTGCTTCCGCTGCACGAAGGCCAATCACATGGCAAGATTATGTCGAGGAGCACCCAGCTGTGGCAAATGTCAAGGCAGACACGCGTCCACCATGTGCGACCCGAATTACGCGCCGGGAAAAACGTCAACCAGATCGAATGAGACGGAACCGAAGGAACCGGCACCGGTCGCTATGCATGTACGTGGTAGGAACAGCAAGCCGGCAGTGCTCCTACAAACGGTTACTGCGTGGGCAGAGGGTACAAACAGAAGGAAGCTTGCCCGTATTATCTTCGACAGCGGCAGTCAGCGCTCCTTCATAACTGAAGAACTGTCTCAGCGACTGGACTGCAAATTGCTCGGGACTGAGATCCTCACAATAGGCGTGTTCGGGGGCGAAAGCACTGAACATACGTTTCGCAGGGTTCAAGTAACTTTGCGAGACCAACACTACAACAAAGAATATGACATCGACGCTCTTGAGACACCTACCATATGTGAGCAGGACCTTCCGAGCCCAGATGAAGCCATCGTGGCAACATTGGAGGAACTTGGCTGTCCCGTGGGAGACAACATGACCGGACTGGAACAACGCGGCGTCGACATACTGCTGGGATCAGACCACTACTGGGGGTGCATCACAGGACGAATTCACCGACTGAGTGGACGCCTGACTGCAGTAGAGACTGTATTCGGATGGGCGGTTCAAGGACGAACGATGTCAACCTCCGCGGTTATTAGTTGTTCCCAGGTGGTCGTGCTGAGAACGGCGGTGCAAGAGCCCCAAACCTTGCCAAGCTTTAAGCAATCCTGGGAACTTGAGAACATGGGTGTCATCGATGCATCGGTGGAGGATCCTTCGGACAACGACGTCTCGCGAGACTCCGAAACCAAGATTGCCAAGACCAAAAGGACATACGAAGTCGGCCTTCCATGGAAGGTAGACTTCAGGTTGGCAGACAACAAGGTTCCTCGAATGCTAAAGAAGAACTGTGAAAGCGCGACGTGGAACCACTTGCCTGGAAAGAAGAACCCCGTCGGCCTCTTGTCACGAGGTCTTACCGCATCTGGACTGGTCTCCGCTCCCCTCTGTTGTGCGGGGACCAGTTGGTTGCCACTGCCAGCTGAAGAACGGCCCAAGGAGAAGCGCGAGGAGCCACGTCGAGATAAGCTCGAGGAGAGAGGATCGAGAGCAGAAGTTTTTGAAGTCACAGTAACGCCCATTCCAGAGTTGATCGATATCTCGCGATTCAGCTCTGCTTCAAGGATCAACAGAACAACGGCTTGGATTTTTCGATTTCTCCACAACGTCAGGTCAACTGAAAGACGAACGGGACCACTGACAGCCGACGAGATTGAGGCAGTGCGAACTCACTGGATAAAGGAGGCGCAGCGCTCGGCGTTCGCTACCGAGCTTTGCTGCGCGACCAACTCTACGAAGAACCCGCCTGGTTCACCCCTCCAAGACTTCGCCACTTTCATCGATCAGCGTGGAGTACTTCGCATTCGAAGTCGCCTCCAGTCCGTCAGCATGACGTATGACGAACGAAACCCGATCGTCCTGCCCAAGCAGCATCGATATTCAGCCTTGCTGGCAATCGACGCTCACCGACAGCTGCTGCACGCGGGAGTCAGAGATACTCTCGTGCAGCTCCGTAACCAGTATTGGATTCTGCGGGGCCGAGAGCTGGTGAAGAAAGTGGTGCGTGCCTGCGTGACCTGTCAGCGCTTTAGCGCGACCCCCGCGAGTGCCCCCACGGGACCCCTGCCGGATGCCCGGACAACACGAGCGGACCCTTTCGAGGTAGTCGGCACGGACTTTGCGGGCCCCCTCTACGTTAAGGGCAAGGACCTCACATGCAAGTCCTACGTGGTGCTGTTCACGTGTGCAGTCACGCGGGCTGTGCACCTGGAGTTGGTTCCAGACCTGTCGACCCGGAGCTTTCTCTTTGCCTTCCGTCGATTTGTGTCGCGCCGAGGGCTGTGCCGCGTAATTTATTCCGACAATGCGTTGACCTTCAAACGAGCGTCGAAGGAACTCACGGAACTGTGGAAGACGTTGCGCCACCCAGACGTAGTCAACCACTTTGCGAACGCGGGTATCCAGTGGAGGTTTATTGTCGAGAGAGCCCCATGGTGGGGAGGATTTTACGAGAGGCTTGTGCGCTCGGTAAAGGTGTCTTTAAGAAAGGTTATCGGAAGGAACTGTCTGGACACAGAGGAATTGACCACCGTTCTGATTGAGGTAGAGGCCGTGTTGAATTCGCGGCCATTAACGTTTGTGCACGACGCGGTCGGAGAGGGGACCCCGCTGACGTCGGCCAGTTTCCTAGTTGGAAGGCGGCTCACGACACTTCCGCCGACGGGTGGGGACACGCTCGCTTCCACACCGGAGGAGCTTCGCGTGCTCTGGCGGCAGCGAAAACAACTGCTTAACCGATTTTGGGGAACATGGAGGGAAGAGTATCTTCGAGAACTCAGATCAGCGTACGCCACTCAGAACAGGCAGTCTGCGCCCATCAGAGAGTGTCAAATTGTTCTGTTAAAAGAGCCGCTTCCACGCCTGCTATGGAAGCTCGGGCGAGTAGAAAGAGTGTTCCCCGGCCGAGATTCTCGGATCCGGTCGTGTGAGATCCGAGTGCATCGCGGCACCATATTGCGAAGGCCAGTGCAGCTTGTGTATCCGTTGGAGTTACTGGAAGTTTAGAATGGACTTCCATCCATTCGGTGGGGAGTGTGTTGGAGCGTTTAAGTGTTTCTTAATAAGCCATATCACTGTCACGAGGACATCGAAGACGAGGAGAAAATCGGCCAGAGACGTCTTAAAAGGGAGCGCGTGGCAAGGAGCTGGCGGCCGGGGGAGCGCGTGGCCTGGGCGCGAGACGAGGCTCGTGCTTGGAACGGTTGGGAACGACACGTCAGATCGCATCGCTTGCAACTTGTAGATAATGTAAATAAAAGTTTGCTCGAATGTAACCATCGACGACTGCCAGAGGTTCCTACAGTAATCATGCACGATTAGCATGTAGTTTCTAACCAGGGTGTCTAACCAAAGCCGCTTCAAAAACCGGAGAAAAATCGTTGTTTTTACCTGGACCGGCACAAAACTCTAACAGAAATCAAACGTTTAATGTAGAACCAGTATCAAAACGGAACCGTAATCTCATGTCGCGGTTAACACTTCACTGGAAACGGCTCGGCTTAATAAAATGCGAGGCGTTGTAAAAAGTGAGCTTGCGGGTGACGGCGCGAGGTCAATTAAATTTTCACGAGGGTGGCGTCAGCGGCTCGATTTTGACTTAACGAATGGCAGCATCGTCCTAAAATAGCTCGACAATATTCCTCAAGTTGAGAAAAAGCAAACATAAACACCGAAAAAAAAACAACCAAGCTTTGACAGCTGTCGCCGCGTTTGTTTTGCCGCTGCAACATGTGGAGGTGCAAAGAGGCGAAGCCGCGACGAGCACGACACTGCGGCGCCGTTGGCCGGCATGCGAGTCGCCTAGGGCCCTGGACGCCTCTTGAATAGATTTTGTTGTGTGTGCGTTTTCTAGATACTATAAGTTGTCTTTTTTATGTCCTTTTCTTAATCTTCTTTTGACCGGTCTTTTGTGTCTATTTTTTCAAGCCAGTAGTTCGGGCGTGCGGTGTGGGTAATATGCCATTTCGATCTGGAAAAGCATCGTACCGGCGTGCGGGCGTGAGCTAGTACTGCGTGATGTCCGCTAAAGACCCCAGGCTGGCAGTCGTATTGGACTTTCTAAATTTCTCGTCTACAGTGGGTGACAATGTCGTCCTACTCTGGCAGAGAAAGTTCCTGCTGTCTAAACAACTGACGACTAGTAATTGGTTTTTATGGGTAAATGGCGAGTACGGTGCGTGCTACTGTTACAGTGACACTGTGAGCGCGGGCTAATTGACTTCCCATGTGAGTACTGTACTTTGATAGTTCCCAAGCGCCTCTATGGCCACGTAATTTTCATACAACGATGTTTGCGTTTTAAATTCAAGATCACAAAACGGAGTTAAGCATATATTTGATATCCTGTTTTCGTTTCTGCAACGCAGCCTCTGATAACCTATAGTTTTTAGAGCGCAGCTCTTAGGCGCCCGTTTCGAGCTTGAGCGGCGTCGCCACGCCGTCGGCGTCGGCGTAACCGCGTGGTGCGTTACGGGTAAATTGCCCGCTAAATCTAGCGGAAAAATTTCCCCGCTAAATCTAGCTAAAAAAATGTCCCCGCTAAATCTAGCGGAAAAATTTCCCTGCTAAATCTAGCGGAATAATTTCCCCGCTAAATCTAGCTGAAACATTTCCCCGCTAAATCTAGCGGAAAAATTTCCCCGCTATATCTAGCGGAAAACGTTCTCTGGATGTCACGTGACCTGGGGGGTCACGGGACCCCCCAGGACACGTGACCCCCCTCCCCGAGGTCACGTGGGGGGTCACGTGACCTTGGGGGGTCATGTAATTCCACCAATGTCACGTTACCTCGGGGGGTCACGTGACCCCTACCCCAGGTCGCGTGACCCTCTCCCGAGAACACGTGACCCTAAGTACCCTTCCCTCCCCCTCCTCAAGAGCTGCGCTCTAATTCGGCGTTGCAGGGAGTTGTAAACGGCTCTCACTTTTTGTTTGTTTTCAATGCAGATGACGCCGTGTGGAACTCACCTTTCCTTTATATTAACTGAGGGCTGTTGACTTTTTTTTTTTAAGAATCGGTCAGAACTGCTTCGTTCTTGGTGGAACCGATAAACAAACGGTCATTTAAATTGCATGAATAAAGCAGAACCGAACCGGAATAAAATGCAAAGCATGCTGAACCCGAACCCGGGTAGAACTAGAATAATGACCGGCTTGACTCTCTGCTTTTAACCCAACCGAAGTTTTCCTAGGGAACACAAATAAAAATTGAATTATATATGTTAATAAATCGCAAGAACCATACTGCGAACTTAAAGGTTTGCCTTAAGTCAGGTTCCATAATATGGTGGTACAGTCCCTTGTGCTGGCGTAGTATACCGATTGCACTTTGTCAGTGCTTTTCTATTCTTGTCGCAGTGCAAGGAAATTTGGGGCGCCTAACAGCGCACTAGCGGTGCTGCTGTGCAAGTATTCGAAGCAGGGTGCAAGATGTCTTTTTTTACCCCCCCCATAAGAACTAGACATTTTTAAGGCCTTATCAAACAAACAACGCGCCCACCATGTATCTGTGGAGGGTATTTGGTTCTTTTGCAAAGAAAACGGGTGTTTTCTATTTCTGGCGTCTGTTTGTCCGACTTGCGAGCCTTTTACGCTTGATCGAGCAATCGAGGCCTGCTGTGACAGCAAGTGTCACGAAGCACTTTGTGTGACTACCTTTCAGTTCAGTAAAATCAGTGCTTCGAAGAACCTTTTTCATACCTTTGCAATCATCTCCCCGTTTGATAACGTCAGCAGCTTTACGCTACTTTTTTTCCAGCAATACAATATGAATGTCAATGGTAATTTTTTTCACGTTTAGGATATAGAGGGATGGTTTGGCGGAGTTCAGCCATTCCAGGAGTAAGAATGGGATTAATGTCTCCATTCGGATGCAGGTGAAAGGAATGAAATTGTCCGAAACTCCAATTCCCCGGAAGGAAATTGGAATGGTAGGGGGGTCCCCACTCCGCTGCACTGAAAGACACGGCTTATCCCGCTGCTGCTGAGTCTTGAACTGGATGTCTGCTAGAGACTCCTGCCAACGAGGGCTATAAAAGCTGGAGGATTTTGAAGTCTGTAAGCAGCTGGCCCTACGACCACATCCGAACCCAGGCCTGCTCTCCGGGTCAGCCGGATTGGCACTTCCTCGTCTTCGTCCAACGCCGCTCCCTCAGGCCAAGTTCAGCGCTGCCTTACCGGCTACGCGGGTGACTGTCTTTGCACCTGTAATTAGGTGGCTGCGTGCTGACCATCAGCTTGGACCCCAACTGCTGCTGCGAACCGGTAAATGTCGTCTAATCAGTTTATCTTGTGTAACAACCAGCCCAGCGACCCAGCAGATAGGCCCGGTTCGTTAGAGCGAGACGTTAGGGAGTTTTCGTAGATCGTTTTCGCCGTCCCGCAAGGCCCTCCGCAACTCGCTACGATAGCGGGAACTCCACAGTCAAGGCTATCGGCGCGCAGGCGCGGTAGCAACTTCTTCGTTGCGGAACGCTTAGAGGAGGGGGCAACGCGGTCTACGAAAACTCCCTATCTTCCGCTTACCGTCGCATCGGCGCGGCCGCGAAGAAGGATTTCTCCACCCTCCCTGACTTGCTCGAACAAACATGATTCTCGGTTGAACTGTAATCACAAGCATCCG